CGTCCGTCCGTGCGTCAACAGTTGGGCACAAATCTTAACCGCTCGACGTACGGTCACGATATTCGGCGAAAAACTTTTTTGTTTCAGAGCTGACCTACCATTTTTATCACTTTATTGAAAGGACCATGAAATGTGCTTTCCACTGACGTGCGAAGAGTAAGTGTCTGATAACCTTTTGACCCTCAAGAGGAGGGTTAAACATGGATTCCTGAACTGCCTCAATGATGTCACAGTGTTCTCATATTCATGGCACATCCATAATCTAGAAAGCCAATATGTCTGGATAGCCCAATGGGTACAGCACAGGATTACGTCTCAAAGGTCCTTTAATCGAATCCCATCAGATTTCTTTTTATTTACCTGTTTTCTGTATTTTTCTATCTTTATTCATTTAACTATTTTTTCCCAATTAACGCAAATATTTACATGATTTATTTACAACAATTTAATAACAACAAATAATTTTTACAATAAAATTATTAGTTTTTCCAATAGGGTTAGGGTTAGGGTCACAATGCACCATAAAACAGGAGTTTCAGGCACGCGATTTGTATCAACCAATGGGATTTGGGAGGTATGCAGAATGGAGAAGGTTGCTGAAATGATGTGTACGCAACTGCGTATCTGCATATCTGCGCCTAACAAATGTGTCTCTACGCACGACTGAAATTTTACGTTCATAACCGTAGCAACACACCTCAGATGAGCCCAGTCGCTCTGCGGCTCTTGTTCTGTGTCGTTGTGTATGGGTACGTGCACTTCACTTCTCCGCATGCTCAATAGTGTCACCCTCCCTGTACATGGCATGCACAACAGCTGCTGCATGCTTAAATATGCTTTTTTTCCTACTTTCGTGAACTATTCCTTTTTTGCACGGTCACAGGCCTCAAGCACTTCTGGCTACCAACGGATGTCCTACCCGTGGAACAGTCAGATTGCAGGCAATGCTGATGGCATTAAGGTAGTATCACACGCCGCCCTTACAGTCACGGATTACTTCTACTGCCCAGCACCATGTGGCACCCCTTATTGGGTCGTCATCTAGCTATACTAGCGTATATAAACCAATTTCGTATTTCAGACTGTGCAGTGCATTGTGTCGGGGACTTCTCAACTACAAAGTATACTGCTCAAGTGGAGAGATAATTGCTATTTATTCTTCATGGTTCTTGCTCTGCCACCATTAAAGATTTCTAACCGAAACACGCAAAAAACCACGCGCATGCGTTATTATGCCGTGACGGGCTTTTTCCTGACCGGTGGCCGCAGAGAACAATGCGAAACATGCATAGTCGAAATGCGAAATTAGCTTCTCGCTTTGTTTCGGTGGGTGTGGTGTGGATTCGTCGCGAATGCGACCTGGGGATGATGAAGGGGTGGATTGGTTGGAAGGACGCAGGGGGTGGGCTCAAACCTGGGGGATGACGAAGGGGTGGGTTGGTTGGAAGGACGCGCGGCGAGAGTGCGAACCCGGTGACGACACACGGTCGTTTTTCCTTTTTTCTCGTCGTTTCAGATCTCGATCAGCGAGGCGCCGGCGAGCAGCACGTTCTCCGACACAATGAAAGGTGCGGCGCTAGTGCATGAACGCTCTAACTCCTCTCCACTGCCGATGCTCTCCGCAATCAGCCAAGGTAACGTCGGCACGCCGCTGCCGGCTGTCCGCCTCCGACGCGCCGCCGCCGCGTCCCTGTCGGGAGCGTTCGCTCGTCGCGGCCCTGCGACCCGCGTTGTCGTGGGGTCGAGTATGGGGATGTCCTCTGGGAGCGGACTCCCGGTCGGTGAGACTGCGGACGGGTTGCTGACGGGGTCAGGACGTCGGTGGTAGTTGCCATACAAGTCTGTTGCAGTATTGTGTGTGTGTGTGTGTGCGTGCGTGCGTGCGTGCGTGCGTGCGTGCGTGCGTGCGTGTGTGGTGTGCACGTCCCACCATTGCATGCACTTTCCCTCTATTTGCATGGTGTGATGACCACCCGATCAACACAATACCGTGTGTGTGTGTGCGTGTGCGTGTGTGTGCGTGCGTGCGTGTGTGTATGCGTGTGTGTGCGTGTGTGTATGCGTGTGCGTGTGCGTGCGTGCGTGCGTGCGTGCGTGCGTGTGCGTGCGCGTGTGCGTGTGCGTGTGTGTTTTCTACACTCTACCTGCACAGCTTGCTTGGTGCTGTTCCCACCTCCACTTCTTGGTCCCTTATCTATCTCCTTCATCTATGCTTGCTGATTACCTTATTAAATCTTCTTTATGTATTGATCTGGCTCACAGCTTTCCACTTACCTTTCCCAGATTCCTGGTACTCACTCGTCACCCCTCTCCCTTCCCTAAATCCCTAAAGGTACCCCTGGCTCATCCACGCATCAACTTGTAGCCTTTTCCATGCCTCTCGCAATGATCCTTCCATACTACTTTTCCTCAATCACACCCTCCCACTCGTCTAGTTCTAGCTTTGTACCTCTTTCCTGAACCCTTCCCACTTTTTTCCACTCTGCTTCATTCACACAATCCCAGACGCACATCCCAGCATTCTCTTTCTCTCTCTCTCTCTTTCTCTCTCTCTCTCTCCTCTCGGTCTTCGATCTGCTCTTCTCTCTGCTCTCTTTCTCTACTCTCTGCTCTCCTCTCTGCTCTCTCTTTACTGCTCTCTTCTTTCTGTTACACTCTCGTCTCTCTCTCATCTCCTCCTCTCCTTTTCTCTTCTCCTCTCGTACCTCTCTCTCTAGGATCTTCTC